GTATCCATTGAGTTCTGTTAGTTGAGCTGAAAGACTCAGTGAACTTACACTGCTACAAGCGCAGATTTAGCCACTTCAACCAATGCAGCAACACACTTTCCGTTCAAACAACCGATTAAGACCTGGTCGCTTTCCGTTATGCCTTCTCTATTCCCTGGTTATACATCACTTCCTTTCATCTTTGTATGATTGGACATTTGGTGCAGACTTTTTCTGAGACTTTGCAAAGTTTAGAATTTGATCAAGATTACTGATTCCAGATGGCCGGCGATGGGACTATTTGCTCGGAAGCCTTACCGTAGCAATGGATTGCAGCTATAGACAAGCAATCTTCCAAGATAAGACGGCATTAGGAACTAGTAAATTTCCGCCAGCTAAACAAAATCAAAACTGCGCATTACCTTTTAACATCACCATAATTTTTTCAAGTATAGAAAAAGCACGAAAACGTTTGCCACGGAGTATACATTTGCGTATGAACAAAATCAAATCCATTTTGGAGAAAAGTCTTGAAAGAAACAGCCATTTTTCTTTAACATGAAAAGTATTTTTGTTTTAGGATCAACAAATGACAATTAAATTTCATCTACCCATAACAGCTTGTGATATGTTGCAGTGCTGAAAACGTCCACCATTCAATTCGCGTTGCTAACCTCACTGACCTTAACTGGATAGGTGTCCATCATTGATCGGAAATATCAAAAATATTTAAATATACTTTATAAACATCATTTTAATCTGAACGCGTTGAAAACAACCAAATATTTATCTCAAACTTTTACTGCATTTCGCCGTTCTGGTTGACCTTTTATATGACTCATGTTTTGTATTTATAGAAAAAACTATCATAGTTCATCGGTTCCCGATATAAAATATATTTTCCAAATAAAAACCATCAAACTCAGAGATACCGCTCTACATATGTACTATTACCATGTACATAGTAATAACCATCTGACTGCTCCTATGGGAACGGTAGTTGCTACTCAGGAAGTGGGAATTGGACACTGAAAGGCTTCTCAGGCACACGTTGCATTTGCGGTCAGACAAACAATAAGTTGATGTCAACGCGTCTTCCGGACCGAGTGGATGACAACCGCTTGTATCACTCGCTTGATGGCCGTCATGAAATGAGCAGATTTAGATGCGGTGGTGACCAGAAGCCGACAGAGAAAATGACACCACTTTTGCTATTGCCGCTTCCGACCTTGATAAGTTACAGCACTGTCAATGAGAACTCACTCGGATAATTTTGTTGATTACCGTGCGTTTCTCTCTCCTAGCACCTGATGCAGCTTCGTATAGTTATCATTTTCAACAAACACTCAGATCTTTAATGATGATTTGTTTTAATTATTTTGATTCCGTTGCTGTCTTTTCCTCAATAAGAAATCTATTTAGAAAATGTGTTTAGTAGGCATGGTTTATCGTTGACTAGTTTTAAGACACATCGGCCGGAGGTCAGCAATATATTTCAAACAATAAACGCATGACATGATTACAAAATATTGGCAAAAATAGCGATAAATCATTCTGTTTTAACTTTCTCATAATACATTTAAGTAGAAATTTGTTTCCTTCTCTTTCAGAGCTTACTTTAGACTTATTGCTAAGATGAACAATCACAATACAGTTCAAAGTGAGATCGATCGTTTTTGGTGGACGTTTGAAAACCTCTCGTGTACACTGTATTCGCTTTATTTGAAATTTACTGATAAAGGCTCAGCAGGTGATCCGTGCACTATTGAAAACCGGAGCACACCTGAAACTGCGAACTAAATTGTACGTATTTAAGTGCAACTCTAAGCACTTTATTGTATTTTTGGCCGAACGGGAGTCGTAGGCATGTCTAACTGGAGCTTTTGGTTCATGTTCATATTTCCTTGTCTTTCAGTTTGTTCGCATTATATCATTTATTAATTGCTCTGTTTTTCTTGTCCAAAGCTAAAGAGAACTCTCTAGTTGTATATTCAGTTTCGACAGATTGGTGGAATTCACAGGCGGACAGTGAGCGAGAGAGACAGAAACAATAGGCGTTGTAAGAAAGCTAAACAGTGTAACTCACATTCCCAGATGTCTTGATACCTTTGCAAATACATAGAAAGATTATGAGCCAAGCCAGTAGTAGACACAAAGCCAGTTCCCACTGGATCTTTCCTGCCTGATCTATTCCCGGAGAAATCTGTAGAACACGATTCCTGTGGGAGTAAAATTAAAAATGACATGATAATGGATTTACGCGCATACTTGATCACCACTTTAGCCTGAAATATGGAGGAAATGAATTGCCCATATTTATCACAAATATCCAACTTTTTGGCAATAACGCAAACTTCACGATACAACCCCTCGAACTAGCCACATTTCGTCAGGATATAAAACCTTTTGATATTGGTGCTGAGACCTTTATAAATAGTTAATGGGCGGTGTACTAATTGCTTCTCACTTTGTTTACCTGTTTATTCCAACGTGACTGAAACCTATAAAGAAAGGTTTACCAATAAGAAAGACATTCATGACTTCGGCTTCCTCGTGCTGGCTCGAACATCTTGCTAGGAATCAAAACCACAAAATACACGTGACATTTTGGCACACCAGATGCGCTAAAGAACTAACTCGGACGGAGCAGGAGCAATACGAGTACAGTGAAACTGTTCACAAAAGCAATAAACTTTTTCTAGCCACAACTAACACAAAAACGCTCAAGGCACAAAATTGCTTAGGAACGATCTTTATGAGAGCCACTAAGAGACATGAGATTATTGAACGCAACATGCACACAAAAAAACTGAGAACACGTTCTCACCCAGTCAAATTTACATTGCAATTAAACATGAAAAATTGAAGCGTATCAAAAACCTCGGATGTCTAGGCGTAAATAGAATGTGTACTCATATTCCCCGTTACTCTTTAGAATCCGACAATTGAAAATCAAATCCCGTCGAGTGAACGGTTTTCTACAGAATAGGCTCACTGATATACACGTGTACCTTTTGGCTATGAAAGTACGCCTATCAACGTGACGTCCTCGTAAATAATTCGACATTCTTTGGTTCACTCTACACTTCCTTTGGTTCTCCCCCCATAGAGAAGCGTTCATCACTTCTTTTTACGTTTTTGCATTTTAAACATACACATTCTACCATTCTGATGAAAACGCTCTCAAACCTTTTACCGTTTAGCTTATGATGCAAAATGACAGTGAAATTTCGAATATACAGAGTTTAATCATTTGTTTGTTGGAAATCTTTTCTGAGCCCAGTATGCCCGGAAATAAGTATTTCTTCAATCAATAAAACAATTGGATGAATTTGATCAAAATGTATCATCCATTAAACCTTAAAACATCTCCAAAAATGTAGAACCATATTGAATTTGAACAGTGATAAAATGTAATTTTTTTGCTTTAATATCCTTTATTGCATTGAAATACGTATGCACCTGATGGTTGGTATACATGACAACAAAATGTGAAAGATGATGTAAAGTCTACTTGTGAACGAAACGAAAAAAATAACCTACGTTCAAAGATGAACGTTCAAATCGAACATGATGACGCATTTTTGCTAAATTTAGGCAACCCGGAGAGCGATCGGGAGTCACTTCGTGGATACTGGACACAAGATCAAACCGAAGAATGAGTTTGGAATTACCTATCGCATTCCGCTCAATCGATCGGAGGGGGCTCACGTTTGAATACTAGTCATAGCTGAGGTGTTCGCCACTTTCTTAACACGCCAAAACCTGTTTGCGCAAAAGGAACTGGTTCAAGCGCTTCAATTGCTTTGGTCTAATGTGAGAAACAAGACAGAAAATGAAGTGCGCTCTGACCCAAATGCAGAAAATTCACATCAACCGACACACTAAACGTTCTTCCACGCACATCCGCATCCAAAAGCATCTGCACATCCTCTACCCGCTGCCCCTGATGAATGAACCAATGGCTATCATTATGTGAGCATTTTCTCACTTTATGATATGTCCAAGCATGACTAGGAATATCCAGAAACAGCCATTCGCTCGTCGACTTGTTTTCTCAATTCTGAATGATCTAAGAGTAAGCTTTCCTGGTGTACTGCAGTGTTAGCCAGTTTATTACACAAAACAATGAGCATACGCAAATGGCTAGGTCAGGAGACGTTTCTGTCTATTCTGTGCTCAGCTGTGCTTTCTATTCCGGGATCACACTACATAAGGTCTGCTGATAAACTGAACTATAACAATCTGTAGGGTTTATTTCCAGGTTTCATTATTTCACCCTAAAAAGGAGAGGTGAAATCGGTTTAGAGCGGCTTCGGGTAAACGGATCTACAAATGACTCACTCCCAGTATTCCGTAGATGGATCCGTATCCATCAGACTGGAATTAGACCCTTGCGTGCGATTACCCTCCGCCGATTTGTTGACCACACAGCCCTCGGTATTCCACCACTGGTCGCATAATGTCCAAGGCAGTGGACTTTGAAATGAGGAGAAGAGGAAATGCAGACCCCAACTCAGGATGACGGTGTAATAGCAATTGACCATGAAATTGATTAGGGTGCTTGCACAACCCAAACCTGTTCAATAGAAACAACAAGTGGAACACACTTCTCTTTAATATTATAAATTTAATTAGGTGGAGTAAACAAAATTATAGTCCGTCGATTTGCCAAATGCCATGCACATGGTTATCTAGTCAAATATCTCATGGTTACATTTCATGGTTTTCGAGCAACTACATGCAAGAGTATTTGTCATACTTTGAGGCTGTACATTTGTATACATAACTGGATAATTTACAATGAAAAAGGTAAACAGAATATTCTCCGGTGCAAAACAAAAACTGTACAGAAATGGTGCAAATAACTGCTTATTCATAATTTACGGGACTACAAAAATATGGATAATCATACTCCTGTTTGAATAGCCTAAACTTTGCAGAGAACCACGATTGTGTAGCTTAAGTGCCCTAATTCTGCTCACCCTAGAAAACGTCGTGTTTGAGAGAGACAGGGTATTTATTATAAGTGATAAAAACTAACAGTATGAAACAAAGCTAAATAAATTACAGAGCTATGATGTTCAATCGGGGACTGGGTAAAACATCTATGATTTGACGTGCTAGTCATACGAGAAATCACTCAGTTCTTGTGCCATCCAAGTATAAGCTTTACAAACTGATATAAGCTTTCCAAATTGTTTGCTTTTTCTGTTATCCATGTCTATTTGCAACAGTTGAAAAGCAAACAAACGTTAAAAATTGATACACTCTTATATTGTATTATAATAATATACGATTTTGCCCAGAACCTGCTTTCAAATTGCAATCACCTATGGGATTATTCAAATTGAAAAATTACCTAGTATTTGAGACATAGCTAAGCCCTTATTATGTATGACTATGGATGACTATGAATCAAAAAAAGGACAAACGATAATATGATAAACGACAGCGCTGTTTTTTTAGTTCACTTCTTGTCAGAAAATATGGATCAGTAGATTCCCTCCCTACAGGCAACCCAAATTTTGCACCTGCTCATTCTCTATGGTAACCTTATGCGCCACCTAGTTCACCTTAATCCTTGACATGATCTAGCTGATCTGGGTCACACTCCATACAATATTCTCTGTCGTTCAACAATGAATCAAAACCATTTAAAAGTCGGTAGCGAAGATATAAAACCGGTGACAATCATATAAAATCTGATCTCTATTTTACTCCCGGTCATTCACTGTCTACTGGTATGTAAAACGTCTTCTTCGGCATAGGTTAACGGAATAGAAGGTCCTTTGAAATGTTCAACCACGTAAATGCGTAGAAATAAGTGAACTTTAGAAACATCATCAATCATGTGACTGAATTCTGTCATGTAATCCTTTTTGTTATGCAGCTAGCAAAATTGTTACATTTACTATTCTGGACCAATTTATGCCTTCTTCAGCAAGAATTGAATTTCACTCAAATTCTCCGTCGGCTGTAAACCTAAACATGAAGAATGACGGGAGCTAAAATGAACCAAATACTTGTACGGTTTTTACCTTGTGTTTCATATTGTTTCAGTAAACACCATTCCATTTTGCACGAAACCAAACCCAGTTACTGAGTAATAATAACCTGCCTAAAAATAGAGTACAGGAGTCTATAATTTAAGAGAGTTTCTGTTGTTTTTTGTGGGGATGCAAATTACCACTAGAGGCACAAGTGATTGTGCTCTAAGATGGAACCCATTTGCTGCAACATGCTATCCTCGATAAGACAATTGCCGTGTTTGGCAAGGAACTGCTCGATTTCTCAGCCCCGGGTTAATAATAACTCTGCTTTTAAAAGAAACGAAGTTGAAATAAAAGTTGTGTGCCCGAAAAGGAATAGCATAGCACGATTTTGAACCAAGATCGTTTGTGCTACTCACTCATGAATCGAGCACGAACACAATAGAAATGTTTGATGGTGCAAAACTGTTTTTTGGGGAGTAGACCACTTGAAAATGATTGAAAGCGAGGGCGTTCATTTTCGCATAACATCCAGATTACCTGCACTCACTCACTGGAGAATCAGTAAAATATGCTCAAATTGAGTATTCTGCTAGATAGAATGCATATAATCTATGACTACTGTTTGAATGGACGATCACTGCGAGGCGAACATAGTATTTTTTCAAATCCATATATTCTACATGCACACGAAGGCCCATGAACACCGTGTTCACCTAACCAGTAAATAAATAAAATTTGTTTCACAAACGTTTCGTTGGTTTATGTTTAAAGTCATCATAACCGTCCGTAAGGCGGTCTATTATTTGCAGAACCGGTGGCAAGACCTAGGTGACTATCTTCAAACGTGTTTTACTTCGGTGAAGGTAATAAGAAAAAAATGTCCCACGGGGAAAAATGACTAGGTCACATGATCTGAAGACTGAGTTATTTTGCCAAAAACGATTTTTAAACAAATTTCACGATTTACTCGCTCCCTGTAGATTCTAATAGCAATCCAATGCTAATATAAATACCCAAAAGAAAACAAACTTGATTTGTAATCATGAAAGTTCACTAAAACTTCACTTTTGTTACGCAGTTCCCCTCATTCGTGGTATTGAAATGTATCTATTTTCAATTTTCCTGAAGATATATCAGCAGCCGCAGTTGAAAAGTTATTAATAACGCTTGTTTTTGCTAATTTAATAACTGTCGAAAATATGAAATTTACTTCGCTTCGTTTCAAGTAGAAAGCGAACTGAACAGATTAAGATTCCACGGGGAGATATTTCGTTATTTCAGTTTTCACAGACCGGGTTTGATTATTTCTGCGAGGAGGTTTTGCCTATTCTATGTTATTTGTGTAGAAGACGGCCAGAGAGTGTGTTGTTCAGTGAACAGACAGATATGGAAGGGGGCTGTTAGTTCACAAACGCATTTTGAACACAAGAAGGGTTTATATAAACAAATTTTAACCGCTTTGGTTGTGGCTATGGTGTTATTTCTATTCCTTTTATATTGACGACCCAGGGCACGCAGATAGAAGGAAATGCTTTGAGTGATTAGATTTGGTGAGGTGTAAAACAACGGCCATTCGCCGGGTATCAGTTTGGTGATGTTCCAGAACTCTCGCATCCAGGTGACTGTTCTTGTGGTTGATTGATATACGCTGCATCACCAGATCACGTAAAAAAGTGTGCACAAAATACGATGACCGTAGCAGAAGCATGAGGTGTATTGTTCACCGTGGTTTAAATAATTACCTCCACCACTGTACCTGTATTCGATGGAAGAGCAATATGCACTGATTTCTCTTCTCCGCAAACAATTGTCTCCTTTATCTATGGCGTCATGAAAAGCCGTCCAAAAAGGTTGTAAACAACCTGTTCTTATGAAACTACCCAAAGTAAAATACAGTTCAGCATGAAAGATATAATTCATGCACATTTTCATTGCTGTATTCTATCTTCCTCGAAACATTGGCAGTAATTAAACAAATGGTATTCTTTGTCGGAATTTGAGGCATTAAAAGAGAGCATTTCTTGTAAATGGCAGATAAGATGACTAAAATTTGTGACTGCTTTTGGTGCAACTCGAGGAAGATGAACATATGACACTGTGCAAGTGTTCTTGAGTGCCGTATTTATTTAAATAGCTCCGACTGCGAAACAAGGATTTATCAACAATGACAGACATGCCAAGGTTGATGGTGATAAACAGGCATCACCGCCGTTCAAACAGCTAAAAGGATTTCTTATTGATTAAAATAATATGCTGTATGTTTTTTCAGTGATTAATTATGTCCTTCAATAAAAGCAGTAGGTTTGTCCAATCAGTAGGTCCATAATGGCCAAAATAGATCGTGATTTATAGAATGCTAAGCCCGTTTGATATCGATAAGGACGATGGATTAAGAACCAATTTGAACGCAACAATTCCCATTAGGTGGGCCATGACGCCGACGAAAAAAACGAACAAAATTGTTAATGAATCAATAATTAAAATCACTGAGTCACCGGTCATTTAGCCATTCACGGCAGTTGGTCAATACTGGCACCAGAAAGGGAGTGGTCGAATCATTATTTTCGTTCAAATAGCCCACTGGAGGTGGTGCACACAAATACTGCCCCATTCATAGATTTTCCCCATTGTCTGCATTTCCTCAAGCAGTCTATGGTTGGTCGTAGAAATTTTCCTTAAACTTGGTTATACAACTATTTTTCCAACTGCATTAAAGAAGTGGAAATATAATTACCGATAGTGTACCGGACTTGAAATTTATGGATAAAGTATAGAAATTCAATTCGACCTTTCTCACTTAGGTAAAAAGAGCAGCAAATGATATACTAACGTTGTCTTCATACTGGTACATCTTACTCCCTGTTTTCACATTACAACAAATTCTACCTCAATCTTTGTCCTCTCAAATAAAAGAGAAACTATTC